GTCTCTTTCTGTACACATTTGATTGACATACGTGTTTGCATTCGGGTTCGTGGGCTCCATATTGTTTTCTCAATGGTCACCCTCTCCGCGCCCTCGTCCGGTGTGGGTGTGTCTCACCTCAATACAGGTTGCCAAGTCACGCTACCTAAGGACTTGGGCCCAGCCAGCACCAGCGTGGCACTGCAGGCCTTGAACACCACACGTTTTGAGAGATTCTCTCTCCACGATTACTTTGGACTCAAATATCCATACAAGAAATAGACCAATCGATTCAAAAGCCAAAACAAAAGTTCGTGACCACCCGCTAGATCCAAGCAAACCGAGGCTTCCAATCAATTTGCCGTTTGCTTGCTGGTGGTCAGATTCTGAATGCTATGCCTTCAATATAGTTGGATGGGGAAAGAAGCATGTTGCATGTGGTGGAACCCATAGAAGATTGGCATCAAATACGGGCTCGAGCCTCATGATGGAATCATTCTGTCTCTTCTTCCATGAGTTGAACCAGTTTCAGGTGCTAGATGTATGTGTATATATATATATATGAATATGCATGTGTCCAACAAAGACCGAGATTCTCGCTGTGAAATGGTCCGACAAAAAGCAACACCGGAGTCTGGTGCGCTCCCGTCTCGGAGTCTTGGAGCCAGAGCCTGGACTGCCGAGGGGAATGCCCTGGGTTGTTTGATGCATTTAATAAGTTTGTAGTAGTGATTGATCATCCGTAATACTATATATCTATAGATTTTAACACTATATATATCTTATCCATAGTTTTTAACTATCTTATTGATATAAGTTTAGTTGTCGCTTAGCGCTCGCATGAGCCAAGTGTCAGCGATGAGCACTCGCATGGCGTCTGGATCAGATCTTGAACACGAAGGATCTGCGGAACATGAATTTGCAACAAGCAGTCATCCCAACATGGAAGGTTGACATCCCGTAGAGCCGTAGAGAGGAAACTGATTATTCTAAGGGTTGAACCCGGAAGAACCCCCGGTTTTGACCCCCCAAAACAAGCGGAGCGCTCACTGGTGGTTCATAGCCCGGCTCAGGTCGCAGGTTCATTCCCCCTCTTCGCCTCGCTGACACGATGGGCGAGGTACTCCTAGGAGTTTCTTCATGGCGACCCCTCCTTCCATGCTACACCAAGCTTCACCAGCACGCTTGCCCTGGAGCGCCCACACCTCAAACGCTGAAGTGGAATGCATGGAATAAATCCCACCCACCATCACCCAGCCAGTAAGGCAGATTTGTTGCCTTTGCCAAAGTCCTGGTCCCCCGTCCATGGTGACTTTGCATGTGACTTACTGTATCGGCTGACATCGGCTCGGCGGCTCCGCTCGGCTCGGCATACAAGTGGCATGCACGTTTTCCGGGTATTGAGGATCCCACTTCCTCAGCGTTCGAGAAGATTTTCCGCGGCAAAGCTGAATCAAACAGCCGTCAATGCGCCTCGCCGAAATCATAGGTTCAACATGCGAAGAACAGGAAGTGGACGATGCGACCATACGCCATGACCATCTTTGAAGATCATGCACCCCTCAACACAGAAATTGGAATCTTGCAAGCCCACGGAAAAAGAGATTCATTTTGCGGGCCTGACATTCGCAAGGAACCACCTCCAGTATGTGAGACGTCAGGTGCGAGTGTGCAAACATCTGGGGGCAAACATGTTCCTTCACCCCTTCCCCACTTCATATAGTCCAAATGTGTGCAGCCACTCAGCAGCCAAACAGTATGTATTTTCCCACAAGCAATATCAACACAGCCAAGCAGCTCGTAGGTCACCAAAAAGTTCTTCAGTGGTGAGAAGTACAAAGCTCGCACTCCGCCCGCTCGACCTTGCACATCCGGCGCCACCTGAGCATAGGCACGTGCTCCCCGCGGAGCGTGCTCCGCCATGAGGAAACATCGGTTTTCAATTCAGTGAACCACAGCAAAGCACAATGAACCAACTGTGGTCCCAAAGTTAGAACGACTGCCGTAGCGGTCGGTAACAAATGTATCCGTTCTCCGAGGTCTGCCCGACCGACAAAAATACGAAAGGATGAAAGCATTGCGACTTCGGCAAATCAGAAACTGAAACTTGTGCAACAGTTGGAATTGAAACAAAAAACTCCGTCAAACTCTGCCAAGCTACAAAAGAAATATTACAGTAAAAAGCACATGATCGGAGAGGGCTCCTCCCCGTGTGTTTTGGACTCTTTGCTCATATCGTCCCAACCTTCTCAAGCTCCTGCACCACCTTGTACCGCTTATTGGCATCATAGACCCGCACGCCCTCGTCGCAGACTGAGGCCAAGAGGGCTCCATCGTCACCTCAGGTCTTTAGGCCCATGAAGCCTGAAGCCGGCTGGGAGGTTTCTTCCGCCATAGGACGCCCGCAAACACCCGGTGAGAAACATGGAGCTCAGGGTAAGCAGGATCTTGAACAAAGGTAGGGATCCTGCTCCTCCCCCTAGGTCTGTGAACAAAGGTAGGGATCAGCAGGATCTTTGTCTCGGCGGGAGGAGTCTTGCAGTGTCCAGTGAAGAGGCCAAAGGAGAGCTCTGGAGCTGGGTCCTTCGGTAAAACATTCGGGACGTGGAAGGCAAGGTCACATAAGAGCTGGTTCACAAACGCGCAGTGTTGACTGACAAACAAGCTGGCGGCATCAAAGGAGAGATGTATGGAAAAAGGAAGGCCACGTTCTGAACCTGGAATGACATCAGTGGATCAGACCTGCCAAACCTGAATAGGACCCGAAAAGCTTGATCCTCAGAGGCATCTCGATACGTCCTGCTTGTGAAAAGTTCGACTTCTTGCATATATTCTTTTTTGACCTATACAACCCTAAAAAATGAATTTTAAGAAGTGAAGCAAAAAACATGCAAAAAGCGATGATCTCCACAGCTCTTCAAGCACTCAGTTCAGACCCAGCTACTCCAAGCGAAACCAAAGGCATTTGGTGGACAGGGCATCGACCTGGACAAACGCGAGATCTCCAGCTTCTGTTTGGAAGACAGGCTGGCTTGTGAGTCTGGATATAAGGCTATCCAATCCTTTGGCGTTCGCGGGGGTGCGATCCCTTCTCTGCGATGGTTTGTGGGAGGCTGCTGAAGCTCTAAAAACAAGACACGTGGAAACTACTAGCAAACATAGTAATACTTTCAGAACCATCGAAAGAACAAGGGAGATTTAACACGAGGGAAGTGTGCGCTTGGACCTGCTCTACGTTTGAAGTGGTTTAGCTTCAGGGTACTCTGAGCAGTCATGGCTTCAAAACCTTGGGTAGATCTGAGCGGGCTGGTTTTAGGCTACCCACAGCATGTAGTGAACATGTTCCAGCTGTAATGACAGTTCCATGCTGTTATTTAACTCTAGGTAACTTTAGGCTTGTTCTACTCCAATTTGGGGCTCATGTTCACTTGGGATCCCATGTTGGGTGGCTCTTCTTCCGAGCTGCTCGACCCTTATTTTCGTTGCGACGAAGCTGGGTGGGTCAGGAAAAACACCACACTGGGACATTCGGAGAAACGCACACCCGGTGGCTTTCGCATCGTGCCTTGTGTCAAACTCTGGGAAGCCTCCAAACTGCCTGAAACTGGACACCAAGCTGCGCAAGTACCTTTACATTGCGACCATCGGTGCATTTGCCGGTGCTCCAATCGCCACCTTACAAGGACGGACTGATGGAGCCTTCCCACCCTGCTCCAACCCACAATGCATAACAAAACGTCAAGTCACATCAAAGAGAGGAGCAAATCGCAAGTCTTCCTGGAAACTCGAGTTTCAATGTGAGGTTGCAGTGATCACAGGAAATCCTGTTTCTTCACTGGAAGGGAAATACCAGCAGGACGGAGTTTCTGAGGCATCCCGACTCTCACCACTCTCCTCAATTTGGGAAGCATCGTAGACAATGAGGCCATCTTTGGTCGCAGCAACAAATTCCTCAGCATCTTTGGTCGCACCACCGCAGGAATCAATACTTGAATGGATGTATTCGGACATCGAGCGGGTCAAGCCGTCTAAATGATGTGCAAATGAGGACAAGTCGAATGAATCTTGGGCCAGTTGGGCAAGTGAGCACCACTGCTTCGATGATCGCGCACGCCACGCAAGGACCACCCACCCACGCTATGAACTTCCGATCCCCGATTCACAAAGGGTTTCGGCCAGGAGTGGCACTGAACACTGATCAATCATGAATCAATCCTCATCAATCAGCTAGTCTCACACAACTCTCAGCAAATCAGTGAGCCCTTGTTATCCCTGCTTCTCAACTATTGAAGAACAGCCCCTAGCAGCCAAGTGGCCATGGCCTGTGGGGTCGGGACGTGTTCACGGCCCGAACCCCCTTTTTTCGACCGACCCAAACGGCCCCAGGTCACGCGGCGCGGCGCCGAACAAATGATGGAAGAATCGAGGGGTCGATGCCGGTAATACATACCACACCATACCATACCATACCATTACATAACATAACATAGTTACATATGTATCGTTATATAGTTCTATATATAGTTACATGTATTACATATAGTTATATATTATATATAATGACATGTATATTATATATCATTACTGGTTGTTCACCAGGAGGTCTATATCCACTCCGGTCCGGCAGGCCACCGTGAGGTCGAGGTGTCTCTTCCTCCGACTGGGTGACTGGGCGTTGGCTGGGGGTCCGTCGGCGTGGCCAACAACCACTTTGAATTGTTTTGTTCTCGACAGTCGGATGTGATATATTGGGATGAGATGTTGGCCTGCAAGAAGACCCCAGTTGGGTTCAGTGCAGCTGGTCGCCCCAGAAAGAACCTGTTACTGTTACACAGCTCGGTCGCCTCAGCCGAGGTCTTTCATCGACCCCGGAGACCCCTCATTCGGGCGGGCGTCGGCCAGGCATGGAGCGGCCTGGGTCTGTTTCTGGGTCGTTCAAGGAGAGCAACAAAACCGAGGTACATGGAAATACCATCAAGTGTATGACGTGGCGATCTAGCTTGGTGTGAGACACCGCGATCTAGCCCACGCGATCTAGCATGCGCAAAAAGAATCTGTCCCGCGAGCGGAAGCATCCTGGAGTAGCTAAGGGTGAAATCTAAGCATCCTGCCGGCAGCGGCAGCTGCGATGGTCTGTACAGGCAACTTACAGGCGAAGTCGCTGGCCACAGGTTGAGATCTCAAGAACACGTCCTTCATGGGACCCATTGAACATAAAATTCTGCCGCCCACTTGGCGTCAGTTTGGACCGTCTATGGGCACCAGCCGATCGAAGTGGCTCAAATCTTTGTACCTGCCGCGTGCTGTTCGGCGGCCAGCGTGACAGCCGCGGCGGTGCGGCGCTGTTCGGCCAAGGTTGGGTGGGTCGAGACGCAAGCAGGTCGAAGGGATCGAACGAAGAGAAAACTGGGGAAACTCCTTGGAGACTAACAGAAGAATGTGATACATCTCGTACTGTGTCATACTGGAAACAAGAAAAAGGAAGAAGAGATAGTATGGTGTTCTGCTTACAAAACAGCAACCAGCAACCGAGTGGGAATGGATTCCGCCCTAACTCGGGCGCACCAGAGGTCCACTTCACGGCCACCGAAGGGTGCAGTATGGAGCAAAACCAGTCGTGGAGCGACACCCCTGGCGCCTGAGGTGTCGCCGGGGATTGGATCATTGTGAACACCTATTGTTCATTGCTGTCTGTTCATTGCTGCGGTTCACCCAAGTTGGTATCATTTCAATTCATTTTCATTGAGAAAAAGATCCGCATCAGGGTGAAGCTTGCCAATGCAAAAGAGTGTGGCGCTAAAGAATGATGCCAGCAATATGTTCGAAAGCCTGCGTCTTCCACAAACTCTCAGATCTCAATCCTGTCTCCTCAAGCAGAACAATTGAAGTCGACTACGACTTATGCAGTGAAAGGGGACTGCAGAAGTAAACGATGGTTTACACTCTAACGTGTAAGCGGAATTGAAAACACCCTGTTCCAGGGAGAGTACGTTTTTCACCCCGCATGGACCCCTGGGTGATGCAACAGGACGACCCTGATGACACCCAAGTTGAACGTCCTCAACCCAAGTAGCAACGCCGAGCCACTAGCAAGCTGCCAACCTAGCGCTCCGGCCTAGCGCTCGACGCCGTGCCGTCCGCCCTGCCGGCCTTCGCCCCAAACCCGGACAGTGAGGCAAGCGACCTCCAGGTACGAGGTAGCATCCAGAGCCAAGCATCTTCAGCTTGCGGATCCAGAAAAGGGGTAGAGTCTTACAACATGAGTTTCATGAGTTCTTTTTGCCCAAAAAAATAACATGATCTTCAAACAGAATAGTTGATAAAAACACAAAATAGATAAACACCTCCTCACAGCTGAATCAGGAGTTTCCCAATGAAAGTTACAAGTCTCAGGTGGACAAAGCTTCCCATTGAAGTGCACAAGCAAGGATCGTGTTTGAAGCGGCGAATCCATGCACAAGTGGCGTGGCCACCATTACTACTCAACCAATCCAACAATCAGAAGATCATCCACATAAGTAGGAGAATTGAATCCCCAAGAATCAATATCACATATTAATTAGTTAGAAATAGAAAGCCCAATTTGCGCAAGTCAGCTCTGTCTCGAACGCAAGTCAGCAAACTCAACTGGCCTTGGCCACAGCATCCAAGAGACCCCCGCCACGGTCGCCTGGCAAAGCCCACTGTAGTACAAACGTCTTACATCATTATTTTGATGTGAAACAAATGGCAACATCGGATATCTATATGTGTGATATATGTATATACATTTTTGTCACTAGTCTGTTCACATTGCGCCAAATCAAGCAAAATGGCGTTCATTGCAGGCAAAGTCCAATCTGTGTTCAAGACAGCGACAAACAGGAAGCTATCCAAGCAATTCATTGTATCATAATCCCCGGCAAACCCTCATATTTCAAGTCCTCCTAGCTCTTCTAACCAGTCCACAACCAGTCAGCTTTCTAGCAAGTCTGGGCAGAAATACATGAGTGGTGGACAAAACTATGTGCTGAACCAACTGCAAGACTAAACTAGAATGTCCTCTCCCCTAACGGTTTTCACTGCTTTGGATGTTTGTCTGGTAGCCCACCTTTCAATGAAAAGGGTATCGGTGGTATGGTTGGCCCCTATGGGTTATGGAGAATTGCAGAAGTTTAGGCAACATCCCTTGTTCCGCAGTCTTGTAATGGTTTTGTCGGTTGCTCGCATCTTCCGCATCGCAAATCCATCCCATAGCAAGCCCAAAGTGAAACAATCCATTATTACATTATGCGCACACCAATCTCGAAGACGTGCTCTCCCTACACGCGCCAACAAACTCACCCACGACAAGCAGCAACTCGTCTCGAGTACATACTCGTGGCTACTTGTTGCACATGCAAAGCATAAGGCCTCATATAGAACTTTTGTACTTTGAGACACTGTGCTTTTGGAATTATCATTGCAGCCATCGCTAAAGTTTCAAGCTGCCCTTTTCAACACCTGGTCTGGCGAAAATTACGCCTTCGGGTGCTCGGAGAAAGGAAAGCCAAAAGGTGGAATCGCTTCTGACCCAGGCAACGTACCTGGGATGCAAAAATGCTTGCGATTCATGGCTGATGAGCCTCAACTGCCGAGTTTGCGATTGCGTTGCTTCTCTGCAGAAATCTGCGAAAACGTACGAGACGACTCTGGAACAAGTGCAGGTGCGGAACATTTATAGCAACAACTGCCTGACAGAGAAGAGAACACATATGCGCAAAACTGCAACCAATTCGGAGAAACTTGCTACATCAATCATCTGCTGCATCATGCATCCATGGACATGCTTTGAGGCCCAAGTCCACGCGCACGCTGCCACATGCTTCTTGCATACCTCCAAGACTTCTCGCAAGGCCTCAAGTCAAAAGGAATACAGTAACAAACAGTTGTTCTTTAAGGTCTTTGTTTCTTGATTCCCTTTCATCTGGTCCTTTCTTCCTTCGTACTTATGACCCAAAATAAGGGGGGCTTGGGGATGGTTTTGGGGGGGGGTCGCTGCGAGTCGAGTCTCCGAGGCTCCGAGGCTCCGGAGTCGGTCTCTGGTCTGAAGCGGAACCCTTCGCCGGACAACGAAGTCCCAACGGGTCGCTTTTCGACGACTGGCAGCGTTGGCCCAACGGGTCAAGTTGTTGCCTTTCGCTTCCAAAAAGATCGATGGCCGAGACTTTGAAGGACCATGAAACGTGGCGTTTACCGTGTACCGCCTTCAGCTCGCTGAAAAAAGCCCGAGCGGTACACGGTAAACGCACAAATCCGGGCACTCGGTGTGCACCCGAAGCGCTAAACCAGAGTTGGCGTTCGTTTCACGTCACGGCGGGACTGAAAAGCCATCAATCAACTGCACTCCCTCCATGTCCCCAAAGAAGGTCTTTTAAGAAAAAAAATATAAACTTGCACAGGCGGCTGCTGTTTGCACATGTGGAGGATCCAGGTAAGGGCATTGATACATTGGAAACTCAAAGACGAAGATGTGTCTTCGCGCCTTCTTGCTGGCCTCATTCGCATGGTCCACATCTCGCTCATGTGACTTGCCTCAAATGCCAGACTCTTCGAGTCACGATGGGGTCTGGATGCAAATCTGGTGCAGGAAGCTCTGAATGATTGAATTTGTTCTACGAAAATAGGTGCTTTTCATGGTGAGTTATGGTGAGTCATCCCACAAGGGCACCAGCCAAATGCTCTCAAACGCTCTGGGGATGCAGGCATTGTGCTAGGAGCTGAAGAGTAAAAAGCTTCAAGGATGAGGGCTGCTGCCTCACCTGCAGTCATGGCCGTGGCTTGGCCACGAAGTGTGCACGGCCGGGGCCAGAAAAGAATAGCTTCCGAAGCTTCACAACTGGACTGAACACACACTCCATGCCCTCCCACAAAAATTCTAAGAACGAGAACTCCGATGTGAAAAGGGTCCTTCTTCTTATTATTATTATTATTATTATTTTTCTTCTTCTTCTTCTTCTTCTTTGTTGTCGTCGTCGTCGTCTTCTTCTTGCGAGCCAAAGGTACGGGGGTGAGAAAAAACGTGTGAAACTAAGTCAAAAACAAAAATGCCGCACCCGCAGGCGCCCCTCATGCCCATCAGCACAGGAACTGGATTTCATCGAGGATTTAAACCAGCTGATCTCGAGAGCCATTAAAGTCAACTTCGCTATGACGGATATGGTTCCAAATCAAAGCCAAGGTGTTGTGAGTACACTGTTTGCGAGGTCTGCCAACATGTCTGAATAAAACTTCGATAGGAGAGGCCCAGTCGTCTTTGAAGCTTACCATTCTCATGGGGTGTTCATTATCTTGGCGAAGAACTCTACCAGCTAATGCAAGCAAGCCTTCGAGTCTTCAGGTTTTCTTGGATGGTTACGATTTTACTTCCCTCTTCTGAAAACTTCAAACATATTTTGCTTCGGCCTTTCTGGGCGAAAAAAACCAGGCTTCGATGCGTCCAGGGTCGAGTGTTGTTTTGCTGGAGCTGCCAGCGGGGCCTTTGCCTTGAGCTCTTGGAAGCAGCTTCTGATTGCCTCAAACGAAGACGTCACGTCGTTTGGAAAATGCCTGCTAGAAGCTTTAATGCCAAACGGTTTTGGTTCGGAAAACATGACGGCGGAATGGCAGCTTGCTCAGCTTCCCCCAAGAAAGTGATTCGTAGAACAGTACCTCAAATCTATGCAGAAGACGGACTTTGATGCCAATGACCACGCTTTTCTGCAGCTAGATAGAAGGTTCCTCAGAACAAAATACACTCCCATCAATGTATCATGGAAGTGAATCATGGTCCCTTGCATGACCATGTTCCTCTACGACTCTACAAACAAAAAAAAGGGGTTTCTCTGCGTGCACTCCTCTTGCATGGTCTTAAGGAGTCCGACGAGTTCGCTCCGACGATCCAACGAATCCACTGGGGGAAGCACTGTTTCCACACTTTCCTCAGCCTGCACCTGCTGACCCCGTCGCGGCCACACGAACGGCGCTGGAACGGCCACACGGTCTCGGTGCCAAGTCCAGGTGCACAGCGTTCCAGAAAAAAAAGACGCACAGCAGTCGGTGTGTACTTTCGATCTCCCCCAACAACTTGGGCCACCTTCTTTTTTCAGCCCCCAGTTCAGCACCAATGGGAGCAGCGTTCTTGGCAGTCTTTTCTTCTGGGCATTGGCAGTGGCTGATGCTTTGGCACCAACACGTGTCGGACCAAGCAGAGAGGGTTGCAATTGCAAACCCAGATTTGCGAAAAGTCACAGAAGGTCTTGGACGTCATCAGTGTCTACACGCAAGCTGCTAAATCTACTAGATACAGGAATGCATTCCTGGATCTTACTGTTACGAACCTGTAAGCCTTTGTATATGCTGGTTTTTGTGCATGTCAAACCATGCGGAAGACCGTGGACTCGTCGTACGTCTCGAACGACCCAAAAGCAGGGCGTACCATGACCCGTTCTTCAGTGCTCGGAAGAGACGGTGCCACCAACCGTCTAGCATGTGTTGAGCAGCACGGGACCCAAAACCGAAACCAGCATCGATCTCAGCGATCCGATTAGGATTCTGATTGCCCTATGCGGCTCTTTTTTGCGAGGACACAGAAGACATCCAGCAGTTCGCACGACTCATTTGCGAGGACATGAGACATCTGATGCTCGTCCTTCTCCGACTTCCACTCAGAAGACCTCTCAGCCATTCCACTTGGCAGCCAGCAGAACGGAATCCAACACCAGGAAACCACGTTCAAGGAGGTCCTGCCGTTGGAGAAGGTTGCGAAATATTCAACCATGCTGAAGAATCATATGACCGGTGGGTCAAAACCAGGATATCTTAGCTAGACTGCTAGACCTACCTGGAAGGTCAAACTACATGGTGTTGAGGCTCCAAGTTTTGACCCATCCCCATACTTGTCCCAAGCATGGCCAAGCAAAAGCCCCCAACGGTTCTTCGTTCTCGCTCGCTCCAAAAACGCCGCTTGTTTTGGGCGCCCGAAAAGATTCCCGCCACCCCTCCAACTGTGCTTCGGTGACGAAAACAGGTGCCCCAACCGAAGGGCCCGGCGTCCTCCACGCGGCGGCCTTCCTTCAATAGAAGTCGCTCTTTGGCCGTCAGACTCTGGGCACGGCTCCTGTGGCGGTCGACGAGTTCCACACATGGCGAGCTTGTGTGGACCTATGGTTCCGTGTGTGGACCAGGTGGATTGGGGACCATCCAAGTGGAAGAATGGTGGATGCTTCCTTAAAGAAGGAACGGAGCCAGGAGCATCCTGTTAAGGTGAGAAATGGTTCCCTTCCTAGCTGGCCTACTGACACAGAGCTCACCTTCTGCCCCAAGAGATGGCAAACAAATTCTGCCAAGACACTCCAGTGGCATGATGCGTGCATTCTCCTTAGGTCAAGTCCAACACCATGGCAACACACAGGTCTGTCTATTTTGAACTTGGCTCGCCCTCGAAGAGATGCGAGAACTTGTAGATCCTTCTCACAGATGAAAGCTGTTGTGGCTCAAAAATGCAGTCCCAAATGCGAGACCTGTGGTTTCCCTTCTGTTGGGCAAACATGCATGGTCGAGTTTCACAATATTCAACCTCGCGCCCATGCATAGAATCATGCACTCACCAAAGTGAGGCCACCAAGTGCAAAAATGCATGAACTCCGAGAACGGAAGGCAAACAGTCCATAGTAACCTGGCTGAAGCCACTGGAGAAGAGTGGCTGAAGCCACTGCCAAGTAAACAAAGTCAAAAAGAAGACTCTTTATGTCTCCGAAGAAAACGCTTTATGTCTCTGTACAATATCTGATCAACCTAAAGACTCATCGTATCTGTCCCGCCCCACCCCGTCCAGAAGTCCGACCCGCCCTAAACTACCAGAGACCAGCAGGTCACATGAACGTGTTCCTCTTAGCCTACAGCAAAGACCTTTCCAACGAAATGTTGATTTATCCACACCTACTCCTTTGCATAACCAGCTTCATCTCTTCTGAACCGAAATTGAACACAAAACATGTGTAGAATGATGCTGAATAACTCTTGCCGTGTCATTAGCATAATCATCATCGTCGCCGGCGGCGGCGGCGGCGGTGGCGGTGGCAGCGGCCACGGTGGCATCTAGCTTAGACTACTTTTAGCAGCAGGAGAATGAACAATCCCGTAGACTACTTGAGTATAGAATAGACAAAAGTGTGGGAAGTCACTCTATATATATATGCCTTCAAAAAATCGAAATAAAACATTATATATAAGTATATATTTATATATTTACATTGCTCATGTGGTTCTTGCCCGTCACTGGTGCATCAGAGCTTCTGAGCGAAATCGGGTGCGCAGATTCAGCAGGGCATCCAGCACCAACTCCTCCGTACTGGCCCAGACGCGCCGCATATCCTCAAGCTTTCAAGAGAAAAATTGAAAAGGAAGCAAAACAATGAAGACATGGTGTGGAAAGCATGGTGCAGTCGACACTTCTTTGTAAGATTCCAAACATACATAGTATGCAGACTCATTCAAACAAGAATATCAGCCAAATCAAGTACACTGCACCCAGTCGAGGCAAGGAAGGGCCTTGCAAAAGAAATTTATCTTTCGTGTTTTGTTCAAGGGTACTCCAGCATCTTGCCCACAGCAACTTAAAGCAGTAAAAAATAGAATTAGTTTCATCTTTAACAGCATTCTCCATGAATGAGACAGGTGCAAGAGATGCTGAAAGTGTCATGTGGCCAACCTGGCTTAAACAAGTAGTGGTGAATTCATCGGTCTCTGGCATTCACAAACTCCTCTTTCTTCCCCACCGCTTGCGATGCATGCCATGCTTCCACATAGTAGAGCCACAGTGAATTGGCTACCGCACCATCACTGTTTCGAGCAACTTGTTGCAAATTCAGCACTGAATGCTTTACCATTGATTGCAAGATCTCGCGGCCTTCCTGCCTCAGTGGGGATTTCCAGACCCAGAAAATCGTGCCTTTTCTAGCACCAAATGGTTGCCTTTGCGAAAGTCCCCGAGAAACGAAATCACAAGGTTGCTCATTCTAAACTCTTGATTGAGTGTCATTCGCGATGGAGAAGCAATCCAAACTGGAAGTAGTGACGGCTTCCGAAAAAACAAATATCCGCAAAGGAATAATTCTGCTGAGTCACAAGGGGATCATGCAGATGTTGAAGATGTGGTTCTCTTCAAGCTTCTGTCGGCAAAAAGCGCCAAAAAAACTGCTGACTTGCCACTCCGAGTCACATAATCTGTCGGCCTTTTACATGGTTCTTAACTGGTTTTAGCGCAAAGAGTTTATCATGTTCCAGCGTGAAAAAACCTGTGCCGTTTCTCAATTTCTCCATGACAATCGCCTGCGGAGGGTCTCCTTCTTGCAGCAAGTTGAAGATCCGAAGTCCAACTTGGCCTTGTTTCAGTCCAAACACACCAGTGATGTTTCATGGGCAATGCCCATGTAGAAGTCAAAAGTAGATGAAACATGGCGAGAATTGCAGTTGGTTCTCCTACACAATTGTGACCAATGTCAGTCAAGAATTGGGCCAACTTGGTTGTGGCAGATTTTGAATAAATACACACACATATACATACTCTACCTGATCTAATATTGGAAGCCACAGCGTGTGACTTGTCACTCCAGTAGGCAGCTGAGGTGCCAAAACGGTCACGAATCAGTTGAGACATGGTCAGCGAGCGCAAGCAGTCCTTAGCTGGTTTTCTCATCAGCAATGTCTTGCTGTGGACTTGCAAAACTATCTGAAACAGATCGCCTGAACATGCAATTTGTTCCATACTACAACCTTATTGCGTTCAGCAAAGAATCGCCTGCTTTCGCCCAATCCACAATCCACTCTGAGCGAAGCTCTTCATGCCCCTCAGCCAGGTGTTGTTGTTTTTTCAGGCAGGCCCTGAAGGGGTGCATCAGCTCGAGTGTTGCAAACAACTTAGACCAAAGTAACCTACTTTTTGGCTGAACATCGTTTGTGCTTTCAGGAAGTGAACATCTTCGCATCCGAAAAACGAGGGACTGGGGGGACGGTGCCCAAGGACCCCGGTGGCGAGGCGTCGGTGCCCCCGTGGCGAGGACGGGGCCCCCCAGTGTGGGAATGGCTGCGCTGGACCGCTGGCTGCTCGGGGTTCGGGGATGAGCCAGGCGTGATGACAGGTGCTGCGCTTTGCAAGGTGTCTGGATTTCTGAAAGCCCTCGAAAACAGCAATGTTGAGCCAATAAGTTTAGCCACGAGCCCATGCTTTTGCGACAAAGGGGAAGGAACATTTCTATAAGCCAACAATAGCAGAAAATGACATCTGGCTAAATAACTTTGGACCACCGCTGATTGTATGTTAGCAGCCTTGGCCACGCCTTCCCTCTGTGGAAAATGTAGGCTGCCACCCAAGATGTTAGGCTGCGGGCAGTGAGATGAGGCATCGGGACTTGTCAGGACACATTTCAGAGCTATGAAATGCACATGAAGAGCCGTGTGAACCTTCACTGAATGCGGTGAACTTTCAGGCGTTTTTGGACGCCAATAAACCATGGACCGTTCAGCCAGAACGGTCCATCTACACCGCCTGAAACGGTGCAGGAGAAGGCTGAAGGGTCCGTTTCATCGAGAGGACAGGCTGAGCCTCCCTCAGCAAGCTCCTTCTGTACGTGGGAGACTGGGAGGGAGACCGTAATTACCAAATTGATTGGCACTTGGACCCACGCAATCATCCAAGACGGCAACCAGGGCAAACCAGAAGACCCTGGAACAAAGCGAAGAAGCTTGGTTTGTTCACGCGTTTGGGCGTCCATTTTCCGAGCCCTGCCCCCAGCGTCACAGCACCATGTCATCCAGAAAATTATCGTGATTCCCACCGCTGCAGGTGACCCCCACTTCATGTGGACATGACACCACCTAAAGTGAAGAGGCGGAGTCCCTACCCTGGCCTTGGGCATGTGTTTTCCTCCTTCCTCTCGCCCTCTTTGCTATC